AGGAGGATAAAGCTTATAAAACTACCCATTTGGGTGCTCGCTTCGGCAGCACATATACTAAAACTGGAACGATACAAAGATTAGCATGGCCCCTGTACAAAGATGACAAGCAAATTCGTGAAACGTTCCCTATTTTTCTTCTCTAATCGACTTACTTGTGTGTTGTTTTTTTTTTTCCAACTTACTTTATATCACAATCTTCCTGACCAGGCTCCTCCCCAGCCAAGCAGGAAACACTTTACCTATTTACTATTTAACTATTTACCTATTCATTTTCTTCTGGATTAATTCTGAGGACTTAACCTCCTTTTTTATGTTACATAGGCATATATATCTGTTTCAATTTTTCAAGATAAGGGTATTTGCCGGAAAAACACATTATTGCTGAACACCCTGATAAATCCTTATTAATTGAAAACAACTAAAATGATATATTGTTTGAAAAGTTAGCTATACAAAAGAATACAAATGAAAAACAAAAAAAGCTTAAAAAAACAAAAACAAAACTACCTATTTGGAAGCTAAATAACACCCTGCTAGAACACAAAGCTGTGCCATCTGCATAACGTAGGTTGTTGATGAGTCTTCCTCCAATCCTGATGCCATATTCTTCCTCATAAAATCCAGCCTCCTAAATTATCTGTTCTGCATACAGACCAAAAAGGTACAGAGACAGGATGCATATCTGATGCACTCTTTTCCTGATTTTGAACAATGCAGTGTTTCCTTGCTCTGTTCTAACAACTATAAATTGAGACACTTAGGAATAAACCAAACTAGAGACACAAAAGAGCTTTACAAAGAAAACTGTAAAATTCTTCTGTGAAAAATAATAAAAGATCTAAACAAATGGGAAACTGTTTCCTGTTCATGAAAGGAAAACACAATAAAGTGAAAATGATAATCCTACCAAAAGCAATCTACATGTTTAACATTATCCCAATATACATATCAAATTCATTTTTCAAAGAGATATCATGAAGGCTACTTTGTTAAGTTTATTTGGAGAGGAAAAAGATCTCGAATAAGGAAAGCCCCTTTGAAAACCTAACTGAAGTGGGAGGAATATTACTCCCCGACTGCAAAACCTACTACACAGCCGTAATAACCAAAACAGCATAGTACTTGTACAATAACAGGCACACAGACCAAGAGAACTGAAACGAAAACCCAGAAATGGCCCCAGCTATCTATGGTCAACTAATATTCAACAAGGAAGTAAAACCTATCAAATGAGGAAATGACAACTTCTTCAACAAATGTTGCTGGCAAAACTGAACTGCTACCAGCAGAAAGCTGAGACAGGATCCACATCACATACCATACACATAAATCAACACAAGTTGGATCAGAGATCTGGGAGTAAAGCCCAAAACCATGAAGTTCATTGTTGTTTGTTGTTATGTGGTGTTGAGTCGTTTCCGACTCATAGCGACCCTATGCACGACAGCCCTAAACCCTGCTCTATCCTGCGCCAACCGCACTGCCTCTGACACACCCATCCTGATTACCCCAGTCACCGAATCGATCCATCTCATAGAGGGTCTTCCCCTCCTGCGCTGTACCTCCACCCTCCCAAGCATGATGTCCCTCTCCAAGGACCCGTCCCTCCTGGCAACATGTCCAAAGTATGTCAGACGAAGCCCCAGAATCCTTGCCTCCAAGGAGTAGCTTGGTTTAATCCTCTCCAAGATGAATCTGTTTGTTTTCCTGGCAGTCCATGGTACATTCAGTACCCTTCTCCAGCACCACAGCTCAAAAGCATCCTCTCCTTCTGTCCTCCCTAGTCATTGTCCAACTCTCTGATGCATAACAGGCGATTGCAAAGACCATGGCCTGTATCAGGCGCACCTTAGTCTCCAGAGAGACACTGTTGCTCCTGAGTACCTTTGAGAGGTCCCTAACAGCAGACTTTCCCATCGCAATACGCTTTTTGATTTCCTGACTGCTGGTGCCAAGAGTGTTGACTGTGGAGCCGAGCAAACTGAAGCTGTGAACAATCTCAATCTCTTCGTCATCCATCCTGACGCTGCCAATTGGTCCAGTGGTGAGAATCTTTGTCTTCTTGACATTGAGCCTCAGTCCATACTGAAGTTCATAAGAGGCAAAATAAAGAGGCTGAAAACTAAAGCGAGAAATGCAAAATTAATAGACGATAAAATTGATGAACAGGACCTTCCAAAGATTAAATCCCTGTGCACATCAAAAACATTTCCTGGTCTCCGTTGAGGCAGCCATCTTGCTCTTGCCGCGTGTTTCTGTTGGAGGACCCTCCCTGTTTCAGATTTACCAACAGAATGAATCAAGAAAAGTTAGCCAAACTGCAGGCTCAGATCCTGATAGGGGGCAAGGGTACAGCTCGCAGAAAGAAGATGGTGGTACATAGAACAGCTACAGTTGATGACAAAAAGCTTCAGAGTTCTCTTAAAAAACTGGCTGTGAATAATATTGCTGGTATTGAAGAGCTCGGAAGTCCGCATGGAAGGCAGAGGTGAAGAAAGGAACTGCTTATGAGGTTTTCAGTCAGTTTCAACAACTAAGAAATAGTGAGAAGAGTTGGGACCTCAGAAGGCTTTTAGGACCAAATAATAGGCTCTTGTGTCCAGGAGAAAATGAATATACTTACCAGTAATATTAATGCTCACCCACAGCTCTTCTGGGAGGATCTAAACCGTTGAAACGTGTTTTGGGCTTCTTATGTTTAAAGATACTTGTTATTCTAAATAGAACTTTTCTTCAAGAAGTTAGCCATATAAAGCTTAACTCTGAAGGAAAGATAGGACTGCAAATATAAATTGTGTGATTGTGCATATAAGTTACTATTTGTATATGCCTCAAAAAAACCCAACAAACATTTCCTAATAGGATGAAAAGAGTCTACTGACTAGGAGAAAACATTTGGCAATACCATCTCAGACAAGGGTCTCATAACAAAAGTATATAGCATACTATATTGCCTCCACTAGAAAAAGACACAATTACAAAATGGGCAAAAGAAATGGGAAGATTTTTCATAGAGGAAGATATTCAGATGGCCAGCAGACAAATAAAGAAATGTTATCCCACTCCAGTAGCAGTGGCAAAGTTTAACAGGACAACAAACAATAAATGTTGGAGAGGATGGGAGAGACTGGAACTCTCAAACAACGTTAGTAGGATTATAAAATGGTACAACTACTCTGGAAGACAGCTTGGGGTTTTCTCAAAAAGCTGAACACAGAAACTCCATGTAATCCAGAACTCCCAAGGAAATTAGAACTGAGACAAAAATGGAGATTAGTAAACCAATGTTCACAGCAGCATTATTCACCATCAGAAGAACATGGAAGCAGCCCAAGTGTCCAATTACATCATTCACACAATGGAATACTATGCAACACTCAGGAACAATAAAGAAATATTACATAACTTGGGAGAGACTGCAGAGTGTTATGCTGAGTGAATTAACTCAGTCTCCTAAGAACAAGTACTGCATAAAATCATTATTGTAAAAATACAAAGATAAGTAGTAAAAGTGTATGGGGGTTTAATGGGTTGAAGAGTTGGGAGCGGAGGGGTGAGGATATGTAGGGGGAGTCACAAAGTTGCACATTTTGGCTTGTGTAGAGGGTGTTTTCACATACTGTGCATCAGAAAGCTGGACGATGACTAGGGATGATAGGAGAATTGATGGGTTTTGAGCTGTGATGCTAGAGAAGAGTACTGAATACCACGGACTACTAAGAAAATAGATTCATCCTGGAGAGGGTGAAACAAGGCTACTCCTTGGAGGCAAGGATTCTGAAACATTACTGACATACTCTGGTCATGAGGGAAGGAGGGATCAGACATTATGTTTAGGAGGGTAGAGGGACAGTCCAAGAGGGAAAGACCCTTGATGTGATGGATTGACTCAATGACTGGAGTAATGGGGGCAGGTTTGTCAGAGACAGGTTGGCTCAGGGTAGAGCAGGTTTCAGAGTTCCTGGAAATAGGGTCACTATGAGTCGCAAGTGACTCGATGTCACGTAGTAACTGCAACAACAACAACAACAGGGGGGATAAAAGAAATGGGAAAGATCCAACAGGGACCTGAAAAGGGCATAGTTCACTGGTGATTAATTTTATGAAACACAATGTATAGGCATGATTGTATAAAACATAATGTCAATGAAGAAAAGAGTGAAACACACACAGAAACAGACACACACACAAACAAAATCCTCAAAAAGTATACGAATAATGGAAAAAATTTTAAGTAATATAATATAAAATATGCATGAATAAGCAAATGAAAGTGTAACTGCAATGATTCAAAAAAAGCATGGATGAATTAATATCCAAGTAGATATATGCATACCCATGTTTATTGCGGCTTTGTTTACAATAGCAAGGAATTGGAAACAACCCAAATGCCCGTCAACAAACGAATGGGTATAGAAGCTGTGGTATATTCGCACAATGGAATATTATGCTGCATTGAAAAACAAGGAACTCATGCAATATTATTCAAAATGGGTTACCCTGGAGGACATTATGTTGAGTGAGGTATCTTAGTCACAAAGGGACAAATGCTATATGGTGCCAC